TCAGGGTAGGATGCTGGTGAAAGAGATCACAGGTACTGACCAGAGAGGGTGACCATGGTGCATGGTTGCCATTAAAGGCGGCAGACCTGGTGTGGCCAGGAATTCCCATTTTTTCCAAGAGAACCCAATAATCTAGATTTTATGAAAAAATTCTCCATTTTTAAAAGGTGATTTAATTGTTTAGTAACATGAGGTTGACCAAGCAAATCTCATGTGCAGACCAAGTTCTGCATGGTGTCCATTCAGGGCACCAGCCTGGAACCAGCCTTAAGACAGTCTAAAGATCTTATTTGCTCATACCTCGATCAGGGTTAGTTTATGGAATTCAAGGTTTGGGCTTAAAATAGTCTTTATTCCAGCTTTTGAGCCAGCAGATGATATTCATTATCACTATAAATAGCTAATAACTTCTGGCACAATCTTAGTGGACCTCCTCTCTAACCAGAAGAGAGTAAGTAGCTACCCATCATTCTGGGTTGTTAACTTTAGTTTTATGTTATTCTACTCCAAGTACCAAGATCAGCCCACTAGTATGATAGAGCCTTGCAAATAATCATTGACCCAGGAAACAACTTATGACAGCCAAGTACAAAAATGCCAGTATATTGGAACATATAAGATTTGGGAACTGGCAGCTGTTCCAGTCTTGCAAACATAATTAAATGTAGAAATGGCACTTTCTTTATAAAGTTGTTTCCCATTGCTAGTGGGAGACACATGTCACTTATAGCACTTAAAGGAAATATACTAGATATGTCTGGTGTTTCAGACCTGGGAGTCAGGTTGCCTGTTTCAGGAGACTCATCAGAATTTGCCTCCTACGAAGCACCCAAGTTAATTTTCTATAATGCTAAGTGGCCCTCTTGTCCAGGCTCTCTCACTTAGAATTAAATATTGACTTTCTCTACAAACCATATGCTTTTTGCCCAATAATGATTTATGTGTGTGTTTGGTTTGATCGCTTTGATGCTATTGGTAAAAATATCTCCAAGGCAGAGCCACTACAGTATCTACGTTACTCACCCACCTCCTTTCTTTTCCTTGGTATGCAATTTACAATGCACCCAAAGAGTTGGTAATGTTTTCTAAAGGTGATATATCTCATTAGTTTGAAGTGCATGAATTACCACTAGTCAACTTTTTGATTATAGAATGGGCAATTTCATATGGTCCAACATATTAATATGTCTAAATGTTCCAAGGAACAGAGAGACTTGAATGATTAGAGAATACTATCTCTAGAACTTCCTGTGATGATGGAAATGATCTAAATCTCCACTGACCAACACTTGAAATATGGGTAGCATGACTAAGAAATTGAATTTTAAATTTTATTTAAGTTTAAATAACTCCTTGTGGCTGCCATATTAGACAACACAGTTTTCTAGATGGTAGCTTCTTCAGACAAGAATTGGTATCACAACTTTGTATTTATAGTGTTTGAAGGCCCAGCACACATGAGATGCTTGAGAAATGAAATTAAAAGTACCTTCTTGCACTGCCACATTTTCAACCGAGTCCCTACCTTCCTTCCATTAAAGCTTTTAATTTACATCTTCTAGTTCCATGTCTTCCCTTGGGTAGTCACTGTCCCAGCAAGTGTGTAATTATATGGACCTACTAGAGGCCCAGTGCATGAAATTCGTGCAGTGGGGGGTGGGAGATCCCTCAGCCTGCCTGTGCCCTCTCACCATCCGGGACCCCTTGCTCCTTACCGCCCACCTGCTCGCTGCTCCTCAGTGCTGCTGCAGAGTCGGGAGAGGCTCCCGCCACCGCCGCTGCGCTCACCAGCTGTGAGCCCAGCTTCTGGCTGAGCGTTGCTCCTCCTATGGGAGCGCACTGACTACCATGGAGCAGCTCCTGCATTGAGTGTCTGCCCCCTGGTGGTCAGTGCGTGTCATAGCGACCGGTTGTTCTGCATATTAGGGTTTTATTATATAGGATAGGTTAACATTGTGAAGGCTATGCCCACATCACCCAGCAACTGGGCAATGGGAACTCGCTTGACAACCACCTAACAGGCTGAGTTTCCATGATCTCACCCACAGAATAGGGACAACCATACCTACTCTTAGGATGGGGGTTGTTGCAAGACCTAGATATATGTCAAAGTTGTGGAATCTAATTCTAAACTTTTAAAAAATAAACTTGGGCTCAGCTTCATGTGTCCAATGAGATAAGAAACAACTAAAGAGACTATATTAATAGGTATTATGGTCTACCTCATTTAGTCAACTTTTATTGTGTTACAGGCCAGACTTTAAACATTGCAGCTCCTAGATGTACAGATGAAATAACACAGTCTTGCCTTCACAATTCTGACTGACCATTCCCCCCCCCCCCCCCCGCAAAACAAGATTTTAGCAAAGAAAAAAATCTGGTGTCTCAAAAGAACTCTTGACTCCCTCCCTAAGTGTCATTCACCTATTAATATAAGCTTCCAGGAATAAAGAACAAGTAAGAAGAGTATGAGGTCTTGTCACTTTTAAAAGGTGTCCCTGCTATATAATAAACCAATATTCTAATTAAATCACTTGTATTCAACCACTTATATGGAATATAGTGCTATAATTACTGCAGCTTGTTGATTAGGGTTCATTTCAGCAAAGAACAAAATTGCTCAAATGTGACTCAATGATTTCAGATTTATTTAAAACTCTCCCAACAACCAAAAAATAGTAAGATGCCAAGGTACCACTTTAACATCTTAATCTCTTTATAGATGTTCAAAGGCCGATTCCCAATTATGAAAGAATTCTGTTATAGCATGTATTTAGCTCTACCCACTGGACACCCTCTATTTCCAAAGGGAGACCTTTCCTGTTCTCCTGCACTCAACAGGACCAAGAATCTCTGCAAGCCAAGTTCAAATTGCTCTGTGTAAAGGGAAAACAACCTACTTTCTGTCCTTTGCTTAAATAGAGAGGGAAGTGGCATCTCCAGGACCTCGGAACCGGAAGCTACTCTCTGGAAGGGAAATAGGTTGGCAACCCATAGTCTGGCTGACCTTTGGAAAGTTCATAAAGGAACTGAGACATCACCACAGTAAGCAAGCAGCATGATGCAGGATCACCAAGACTTCCCTGGTGTCAGATTAACAGGAAGTTAGTTAAGACGACTAACACAGAGGGAAAGTGTAAAGCAGGAGGCAGGGTCAGTGGAGAACACATGCTCCCAAATGCACAGGGATGGGGTAAACATGCAGCTGTCCCTCCTGGGAGTGCTGGACAAAGACCTAGGTCTCTGGATCCTCAGCAGCAGTGTTCTTGAAGAGATCTCTAGCCTGGGGTGTGAGGCCCAAACTCCAGAAAGTGCCAGCCAGGCACCCTCACCCTAAAGGTTCCAGCACACTAGGCAAACAGTGATGTGGGAGGCTCTCAACTCTGCAAAGTTTCATTTTCTTGATGCTTTCTAGTTTCTGCTGACCCCTGACCTGCTTCCTAGTCTCTGTTGACCTCCGACCTCCAGGAGTTATTGCCAAACTGCCTTGTTTGCACAAGGTCCCTGTTTTATCCAGCACTTGCCTGGGAGATTGCCCAGCTCCTAATTGTGAGTGTGTTTTACTATCTCCAGGCTAAAGATAAGGAAACCCTAAGCATAGTGGCATAGGGGTGGAATCCAGCCCTGCATTTGCAGCAACTAGGATGGAGCCAGAACGACTCCACTTCCCTCCCAAGCCCCACACGCCCCTAAAAACTCATTCCAACAAGAACGGCCAGCACTTGTTGATTACTCCATGCATGTGCTGCACCAATTTTCTCTTAAGTAGAAACATCAGCAGCCCTGTTTTTCACACAGGGAAGTGGAACCCGGAGTGAAACAGCTGGGTCGAGGTCACCCTCAGCGGTGCTGGGATTTCAGAAGACCCCCTCCCTCCCTTAACCACTTCACCATCCCAACCTACCATTTATGAACTGCAACCTGGGGAGGGGTCCCTGAAGCTTCCCAGAAGCCCCAGGGAAAGCGCGGACCCCAGCCTGCCCTCCCCTGCCCCAGAGAGCAGCCCGGGAGCCTGGCCGGCCGGGGCGGGTGCCAACACGCTTGGCCGACCGGGCCGGAGGTGCCCGCTTCCGCCCGGGCCTGGCACCGCCAGCCCATTCATCGTGGCACCGGCGGGGCGGGCCAGGCAGGGCCGGAGTGCCCACGTACCCCCGCCGGGCGCCCGAGCGCTGAGCTCCGCACGGCCGGGCCCGGGGGGTAAAGGGTGCCCTCAGCCCGGCCGCCAGGGGAGCAGGGAGCTGCCTTCCCTCACTCCGGGAAGTTGCCACGCGGCCGCGGGGCGGTCCGAACCCCGTTCAGCC